TTTTGCACAATAAATTCTTTTCGTTTTTTCATCTAAAGAACAAAATTACCGGCACGTTATGATCTCCATGTTTATAAATATTGAAAATTTTGGAATTCTTAACGGAGACTTATGTACAAATTCAGATGTCCGGAAAACTCGTATTTGTCTAGGGGAAAAATTGCGTTTTAATGATTTTTATAAGCAATTTTGATAAGAAAATTTTTATTTTTGCTTGATTATAGTTTCGATAATCTTCAATAATCCCTATATTTAATGAAACTGTCTTAGAATTAAACAAAATTAAAAATTTATTAAGTTATTAATATTAAACTATTTGATGAGCAGTTAACAAACTTTTCAGGAAAATAAAATGGTTCTATGACTTGTAAAATATGAGTCAAAATTTAAAAAAAGGATCGAAATTACGTTCCTTCTTCTAACATTTAAAAAAAATCCTTCTCTTTTCTTAGAGGTTAATTTTTTGTTAATCATCTTAAATTTTAGATATATTTTGAAAATTCTTTTTATTTTCAATAGCGTGCACCTTCGTGAACGGTAAGTTAACTTTGTTACGACGTTTGTAACCAATTGAAGGAAACGTCTGCAGTATGGACATATAAATATATGTATATATTATATGCTTACTCATCGTAAATTCTGCGTTGAGTTAGACATGTCTGTTCGTCCGTCCGTTCGACTCAAAAACGAGTAAAGAAAAAATTTAAAAGTTGTTTTTTTTTTTTTGTTCTTATGAGGGACCCTATTGTAACTGAACCAATTCATACAACGGGTTTGGGTAGCTGTCATACAACCCAAATACATTTCAAATCATAGAGTTAGATATCTTAAAAATTAATAAGGATATTATATGAAATTTTGAAAACATGTGTCCAATTACAATTTACACGATACTATGAAAATTTAAATGGAATGGTTGTGGAAGTTCAGGTAGCTGTCATACAACTCTAAAAGCTAATTTAAAATATTCGAAAAAAATAATAAAGTTAGATTCAGGAAATTTGGCAGTGGTGTGTTCATTGAATGGTTTAACAGGTTCGAATAACAGCTATACAACCATTAAAGTGAATGCTAATAATATTTCAAAAATCAGTTTTTATGCTCAGATTGTCAAGGTATAATATGCAGTCCGTTTAGACCTACTGAAACGTTTTTATTTGTTTTAATGCATTTTATCAATTTCAAAAATTATTATTGTTATAATTCTTTGGAATGTAAGTGAAGCAACAAATTTAAGTAAAGTTCGATATTCTTAAATTTTATTCTAAATTCGAATTCCCTGAAATATTTTAAAATAAGAGAAAAAAAAATTGTTTATTCGAAAAGACATATGACTTTATGTTTGTCAAATCAAATTTTCTTACTTTCAATTTTCTCAATATTTCAAAACTCTCTGGAAATTAGTTTGATGTGTCTTACAATAAATTTACCAAATTAAAGAGAAAAGATAAAAAAGTACATTTTTTTTTGTTTTATGAATTTAATTTAAATTTTATGTAAAATAATCTTATTGCGGCAGAGTAAGCTTTGAAACCACAAAGTCTTAATCTACACAAAGGGAACATGTATAGCTGTTGTAGTTTACTTATAAATTAGTCGAGCTGAAAATATAATATCCGTAGTTTGAAAATTTATTCTTATGTTTAGCAAACAAACGATTATAAAGATGCTTTACTTTTGATTACATGCACCTAATGAGGTCCTTTACCATTTTATTATACCCAAAAATAAATTTCGGAATTTTTTTCAAATTTAAACAATGTCGAATTGACTTCAGCATGTTGGCGTTTAATTTGATTTTTCATTTTCATGTACATTTTCAGTAAAATAACAGTAATTAATAATAAGTTGTTGTAAATTGGTATTTTCATAATGGTTAATTAGAAATATAAATTTTCTATTATAAATTACAAAATATTCAAATGCTCAAATCAATTATTCAAAATAAATAACAATGATGAATTTCTATGTTATTTAATTACTAAATAATATTAAACAAGAATTTTCGAAATTTAAATCTATTAAATTAGCCAATATCATCGAATATGTCTAATAATTAATAAAATATGCAATTATTTTATAAACATTGTTTATTCTAATTAATTTATTATTTAAACATAGTCCTTTCTCTGTTATCGTATTTCCATTTCTATTGTTTTATTATTTTATTCTTGCTATTATTTCAAAGAAACTATTTTAATTACAATATTAATAATAAATTATCTGCGGAAAATTTTCGTCCTTTATATTGAAAATATTTTATTATAAAAAATTGAATATAAAATTATTTTAAATTAACTGCGAAATTAATTTGTTTTTTGTTTTGTTTAATATTGTAAATATTTGACTAACATTCAAATGTAAATTGTATTTAATTTGTATAATTAATAATATTATAATACAGTAGTTTGACTTACCAAATAATAAAACTGTTATAGATTTCAAGATGCTCAAGATTAAGCTAGATAATTTTTAGAGGAACAAATGTAATTCCTTTAGGATCTCAGCAGCATCTTAAAACTTCTACAGCTTTCAAATCCCTTTACTATTACAACCATATGTACACAATGTCCTTAATTTATTTTTCAAAACCGAAAAACAATTTCTTTAATTAAAAATAAAAATATTTTGGTCATGATGTCTTACCGTTTTGATGTGACCACTCTCTTTTATCGTTTTTACTTATATAAAATTTTCATTTATATTAATTTCAATTATTCTTTTTTAGTACTATTCCAAAAAATTTTGAAAAATAAGTGCTTATTAGTTTCACTCTGTCCGTTCGTCTGTCCGTTTTACAAAACTTTTACACTTTTGAAGACAGAAAGCCGAAATTTCATTTATAAAGAAATCTTTTCTAGAAATTTATTTCCGTAGAAGAAAGTTTTTATTTTTCTCCCATTTCCAAAAGTTATAGCCTCAGAGAAACCGAAGGCTGTGGATGGCTTCTTTGATGATCGTAACAAAACATAAGACGAGTGACTGCAAAACTTAATTGTTATCTAAAACCCGTCTTTTTCGAATTTTTGGTATGATTTTCCTTCTAGACGATAAGTTATAGGAGTTTGAAATTTTATACGCTTAATATTTTTATCAATTTCGGATTTTTGAGAATAAATAAATATAAAGATTCGTGTATAAATTGAGAAGCTCGGAAAATTGATAATTCACTAGGAAAATAATTGCATTTCGATGACTTTCATAAGTAGGTTTGAAATTTTAACAGCTCTTAGCTGTTAATAGTTTATTTCGTTAGAAAATTTTTTTTTCCCCTTCTAAAATTTATCGTCTCTCAAAATTTAGTAAAATTTGAATTTTTGGCACCTCATATTTCCGAAATTTCATGATTCTCTGCAAGTGCAGAAAGCTAACAATATATGTCTTTTCATAAAAAAATTTATAATTTTTCTTAATTCACGCAATTAACTCTTGAATTCAAGCATCCCAAATGTATGCAATTTTTGAAATACTTTGCTATATAAATGAAATCAATTTTAATAATGTAGCAGATTCGTTTAAAAGAAGTATTTTGATTTATTGAAGGAAAAAGCGCTACTTTAAAAATCATTGGTTTGACTCGACTTTATTAAATTTTGTTATAGTATTTTTGGTTTTTAAAGGATAACATGCACTGAAAATGGAAAATCTAAAAATAAGTAAAAATCGATAGGAAAAACCTTTATTGAGAAGAGATTGGGAGAATAATTTATTTATACCTTACCTACTTTACAAAATTTTATTGAAATTTAATGCATTATTAATTTTATTTTTAAGTAATAATGAAAAAGGTTTGCTTGTTTCTCTTTTGTTTTTCATTGAAAAAAAAAATTAAAAAAAAAAGGAAAACTTTTTCTTTATCCCATTTTTTTTTTCTCTTCTCAAACTGAGCTAATTATTTTTCTTCTTACTTTTTTAATGTTTGTGTGTGTTTATTTTGTGTGTGCATATTTTTTAAATTTTCAAACTTTTTTAAGCAATTTTGTTAAATTCGGTACGAAAGTCGCTTAACATTAATTACCATTTACATTGACATTATTAAGTTATGCATGTATATTTTTATAAACTCAATTATATGTACATATGTACAGAATCTTGGAATAGTAGAGTAAATATTGGATGGGACGGGATGTATAAAGGGTGATGTAAGTTCCCTTATTCCTATAAATTTTATATTTAATATCGTAATCAATATTCTTAATTGGAAAATAAGTATTTTTTGCCTTAATTAATCGCATTTTGTATACAGAAAGGAAAAATTAAAAAAAAAGAAAACATAAAGAAAGAAATAATAAATTACAAAACGTTCAATGGGAAAAAAATTAAATGTAATTTAATATTCTGAAAACAAAAATAAAAACAAAAATTTATTTTAATTTTCAACCCTTTGGTTTCGGAGTGTAAGTACAGCAGACAGCGTAGTTTATTAGGAGACAGCGTATTTCGTCTTCATCATACTTGTTCAATGAATTTAACAAAATGTAAAAAAATATTGCAATTCAATTTAATTTTCCAATTTTTCAGTATTTTTGTTTTATCAAGTCGCATGAGATCAACGTCTAATTGCTTCCTTAGAAATTCTTGCTTGGAAAAATTTCTTATTAATTTTATTTTTATGTAAGTCTAAGTATGTATACCTAATTTTCATACTCTATGGAATAGACCATTTGAAAACAGCGAAATGTTCAGGTGTTAAGGCAAAAATTAACCCACATTTCTCCAATAAAGTCTTTTTCGCTGCGACAGTCATACCATATTCAGTCATACTCATCCTATTGTTTTAGAAGCACAAGACCTTCAACAATAAGATCTAATTATCTGAAATTAAATTGTAGCATAAAAAGTACATATGCATACGAGTATTAATTTTTAATGGTAATTAAGTAATTATTATCTTGATTAACTTCTTTCTCTTTTCTACAAAATCTTGTAATATAAATGAAATTTTAAATAGTTTAAAAATTTAATAATTTTACAACAGCTTTTGTTTTTCTATTTTGCAGCTATGATACTAGAGGGACGCATGCTATGTCTCCCTCACATTGGCGAGATGAAGAAGTTTTAGAAAATAGAGCAACATTTCGTACTGTAAAAGAACCAGCTGAACTTATTATCGATGGCGTTCGAGTAAGTGATTTTTATAAAATAATTTTTTTCTAAGACTAACGTATAGAAAATTATGTATGTAAATATGACTTTGTAATTTCATTATTTTAATATCGTATTTAAAATTTAATTTAACAAAACATGATAATTTTATAAGTTTAATTAATTTATTTTTAGGAAAAAGATGCAGGGAATTTTCGATGTAGAGTAGATTTTAAATTATCACAAACTAGAAATAGTAATGTCAATTTGCAAGTAGTTGGTAAGTGTAATTTACATTTCTCTTATATATTCATATGTAATGTTAAGATTTGTAAAGCTAAAACTATGTGATTGAATCGTAAAGAAGATGCAATATAGTTATAGAATGTTATCTCATACAATTTAGATTAGTTTCTAAATCTAACTATACTAAATGCTAAGGGATGCGAGAGAAAATGTGAAATATTTTTGTTTGTTTGTTTTAAATTTTAACTAACCAGAAAATTTCTCCTAAAGAAAGATCAAAGACTCAAATTTTGTTTGTCTATATGTGCTTGGTATCATGGTATCATTTCTTGCTACCTTTTGAATTATTCTTCATAAATTAATATAAGGCGATGGTACTTTCCGGCTTCTTAGAAAAATTGTACAAATCAAAAAGATTTAATTTTGAAACTATTAAATATTATTTAATAGTTTTCATTATTATTTCATATTTTTCATATTTTATTTTTTCATATTTTGTTTTGAACAATTTTATGTAATATCAACGTTTAGCAAAACTATTAGCCTTGTTAATATTACATATGCGCTTAGGTGAGTTTCAGCATTGAAGTTTCTGGGGTAAAGATATAATTTTATTAAAGTTGTATAACAGTTACCAAAACTATGTTCTCCATTATATTCAAATTGAATAGGGTTCTACAGGTATTTACTTTTCATCATTGCAAATAGTCGTTATTAATATTGAAATTAAGGCAGTATTACTTTTTATTTTCTTTGCATAAAATAGATTAGTAACATTTAACACGATGAGTCCCATTGGTTAACATTTCTTTAACGGTCAACATATTTAAAGAGAAATTTAATTTTCTAGTAAGCACGAAACTCGGCGAATGAAAAGCAATCAATTAAATTGTAAGATTTGGGTTGTGAAAAGCACAAATGTCAATTTTAAAAATTGTTGCAATGGCACAGCACATCCTATTTTCACAACACACAGTAATTTCTTCACTTGTTTTTCTACGACCACCACAATAAAATCATTTTATTCTTTTGCTGTTCACATAATATTTTTGACCATTTTCTTTTATTTTGATAAAATTAAATTACTAAAATCAAATTTCATAAATGGAATTACTACTATCCCATTATAAAAATTATTGCCATTTGATATGAGCGTTCCGACGCCAACAATAGTTTTAATATTTTTTTTTTAAATTAAATTTTATTTTTATAGTTTAAATTTCAATTTATTTAATAACTTTTTATGGTTATTTTAATTAAATAGATTAAATAATTCTATATTTTCGTCTTAGCAATTATTCTAAATTTTTATTTAACATTGTCGGGTTGCCAATTTAATTTTACAAATGCATGTAATAATTATTATCCTTTCATTTGCATAATATTTTTAATTTACTAGTACTTTTTCATTATTTTTTCATTAAAGAACAAAAAATTTTCATTTTTTCATTTTTTTATTTTATTATTAAAGAAATCAGATTAGTATTTTTTTTTATTGCACAGAGTGAATTTTTTTTAACATTTCTCTTTCGTAATAATTGACCTACTTTGTATGTACCTTATGTATGTAGGTATCCATTACTCGCTTATAGAACAAAGGTTTTTCCAATAAGCGCTCAATAATTATGGTTATATACCATAATTATTGATATAGAAAAGGAGAGAGAAAAGCTTTCATATTGTAAATGTGCATAAGTTTGAAATAAACGTAATTTAAAACAAAAATTTAAACAAAAAGGGCAACTGCGTACAGGTGGTTTGAACCAATCTCCTAAAATGTTTGTATGAGAATCAAAAAAAAAAATCATTTAATTACATTCTTTCTCTTTCATTATTATTTTTCTGCTTTAATAATGCAATCCGTAAGATATTTCATTTTTTGAGTGCATATATTTTAATATTGGTTTGACACATTGATGTAACAAAAGATTGCTGGGGAGTAGTTTGAAAATAAAATCAAAATGTTTTGAGTATGAGTCATTGTTGTTACGAACGGTTTAGACAAACAATTTCTCTAAGAATTACCATTACAAACAGAAATGTCAGCAAGTTTTTAAAAATTCTTATAATTTGATTTTAGAAAAGATTTTAAGAAAGGATGTAGTTATATCCAACTTTTGATAGCAATTTAAGCACGATTTCGATATGTAATGTTTTTGTTTTAATGGCACATTTCCCATGTTTTAAATTTTTACCCAATCAAACAAAATCGACGAACATTATTTGATGCGTAAAACCTTATTTTGAAATGATTAATTTGTGTGACTGTAATCACATCATACCATTTGTATGATTGAATTTGAAAAATTTTAATCTTTTGAATTTAATTCAGTAAAATTTAGATAATAAGTTCCAAATCATAATTATAAACTGACTTATCTAAACAATTAAACTAATATGTCAATTCAAATCGATTGCGTTGATTAAAAATTGAAATTACAGCATTTAAAAATATGTACTAACTGTTTAGTTGCATCAGTGCGCGCTTGAATCTATGCAATACAAATAATGCAATCAAACAGTTGCACAACTAAAAATACTGCATGTCCATCTGAGCCCTGGCATAATTCTCATTATATTTTCAGTAACAAATTATTGTTGCAAACCTAACTGCAGATTCATTATGTATTTGATATATTTATATGCACAACTTCTCTATATTAAAATGAGAATAAATTTACTATAAAAATTCATACCAATTTAAAATTTTTTCCTACTTTTATTTATGTTTTGTTGTAAATTATAACCGTGGTTCATTTTGGTTTGGTATTTCAGCAAAATTAAATAATAAGTGCGCTTTACTATAATGATTTCTTTCTCCTCTTTAATATAAAATTCAACGTTTTGATAAGTTTTTTATCAATAAAATTGGTAAACGAATTTTTTAAATGGTTATATAAAGAGAAGTGAAAACCTCTAAATTGTGGGGGCGTCATAAATGAAAATTTCATAAAAAGTTTTTTTTATTTTTTTATCGCTTTACTTTTCATTTACCCCCAGCAAATTTTCATTCTATTATTTGAGTGAAATGGTTTTATTATTGGCAGAAAAATCCTTCGTAACATTCATTTACAATAAAATGTTTATAGAAAAATCATATACCAATAGGCCTCCGTTTTCATTTGATATAGATTTGAACGGTTTATGGGAGTTATTAAATAATTTTTTTGAACTTTACAATACAATGAGAAATTTTAATTTTGAATTTTTTGACCTGCAAAATTAAAATTGTATATAAGGTTAAAAATTCACAGGCAGTAATAGTTTCTGTAGTACACTTTAATTATGCATGATACAATTAAAATTTTTCTCTGTATTTGATTGTAATTTTATTTGATTCGGAAATTTTGAAATGAAAAAGGAGTTTGAAAAAAACTAAAAATTCACCATGTTAAATCGAATTTTTCGACTACACCTCTAATTGCAAAAAAAATTTAATTTTATGGTAATTGAAAATTGAATGATAAATAAAATTCTTTAACTTAAATTAACTGAACAATGAAATGTGAACAATTACGGAGGCCAAATAAGCTAAACGGATTTTTCTCAAAAGTTTATTGTATTTCAGTAATAATTTGAGGTTCAGTTTTTACCGAACAGTTTGTTCGTTCAGATCTGTATCTCAAGTTCAGCAGACGCATTTTCACGAAAATTTATATCTCAGGATACGACGGTTTGATTTGAAGTTTAGCGATTTTACGTTTTTGACTATATCTAAGAAAATAATCAACGTATTTTTATAAAATTTTACATATATAAGCTTAGTCTGACAGTACGAAAAACGCAATTTCTAACTTTTGAAAAAAACCTCGTCAATTTCAATGTTTTGGAAGAAATCGTGCATGGCATTGCACGTTTACTACCAGATAATCAATCGATTTCTTTGAAATTTAATACATGAGTTTTGTGTGCTTTAAAACAATTAAATTGTAAATTTTTGAAAAATCACGGAAACCTTACCAGGAATCTAATTTACATTTTTTATCGTATCTAAGTTGCTAATATGTTGATTTGTTGAATTTCATATTTAAGTTCTGTTTGCTACGGGAAATAACTGCCGGATTTTCTTGGGATTTCGGATGGCACAAGGTGGAACTCAACTAAAAGCCAAATTCACATTTCTCTAAAAATGTAAATTAAAAGCGTATAGTAACTCTTTAAAATTTGACTTTTAAGAATGTAAATTGCTGTTTAGAATGACTGTTTTAATGAAAAATTATTAATAATAATTAGTATGACAAAAACAAAAAATTTAAGAAAAAAGCATATTATTATAATTTTATACTTTTTAGTAAAGCCAGGAAACTTTTAAATTCAAATGTTCAAACTCATTTTTGATACCGAAACGACGGTAAATATTAAGGCACTGATTACCTTATCTCCATTGTTGAGAAGCTGTTTTTCTTCTTTTAAAGGAAATTTCAAATATTGTAACGACTAAGCTGATTTGAGTACTTTCTAGACCTTATATCATAAAACTTTCTATAACAACACATTTTTTTTCGTAAAGTTGTAATTGGTAAAGGATATGGTTAAGTCGAAATTCGTAAAAATTTAAATTTTTAGCACTTTTCCAAAAAATTTTTAAAAAAAGTGCTTATTAGTTTCAGTCTGTCCGTCCGTCCGTCCGTCTCTCCGTGTGTCTGTTTACAAAACTTCTACACCCTTGAAGATAGAAAGCTGAAATTTTGTATGTAGACAGATCTTTACTAGAAACTTATTTCCGTAGAACAAAATTTTTACCTATCTCCTCCCCTCTAGAAGTTATACCTCCCCCAAAACCTTAAAAATGGCCTTTTTAAACTACTTGTTGCAATGAAACAATAAGCATTTTTGAAATTTTGCAAACACAGAAAGGCAGCAGCTTGCTTTCCCTAGCGTGGTATACTATAGTTAAACTTTAGAAAAACAAAATGGCCGTTCACATTTACCGTTATCTAAAGTCTTTTTTTTCCAAATTTTTAATTTCGTTTTTCTTCTAAACGCCAGCCTGTAGAAGCTTAAAATTTTAGGAGCTTTTAGACATATGCAAAT